CTGATCAGTTAACGTACTTGTATGAAAAAAAATCAAAGTGAAACTGTGACTAGTTTTTAAAAAAAAGATGTATTCGAATTCAAATTTCGGAAGAACTCTATTTTTCAATGGTTACGCTAACAAAAAACACTTTTTTTTTCGAAACGACTGTAAATAAATTTTTAAAAGCGTTTTGTCAGCTTACGGATAACATCCCAGACTGTGCTCTACGTAGTTCCGTGTCACCATGGAACGTAAAACATTGACGATTCTATTTGGAACCAAATGAAGGGCGAGAAGACAACGTTGCACACACTCACTCGACAAAAGGGAAACTGTAGTGTTTTGGCCTTCATTAGCGCGTGCATGGTGCGCACTTTAGCGACGAACTTGTCATAGAGAGCAATGAGTGGCGTCCATGACAGTTACCAGTCTAGGTCAATAATATTTATAGTTCAAGTCTTTGGAATAACAATACAATATTCTAAAAAGCTTTCTTTTTCGTGTACATCATTCGAAAGGCAAAATGTACGGTCAGGGACTGTACTGAATGTGCGAAAAGTGCGAAAATGGTGTTTTTCTAAAAAAAACAAAAACAAGTTTATTTTTGTCTTTTCGTACAATGACCACGAGGAAAGAATACAGAAGTATATTATTATACATCTTGGGATGAAGAAATATCAAACGTGTTTTGACAGAACAGGAGGGTGTCAGGCTTGCCATATAAACATAAACATGTGAGTTCAATACTCGGCTCTTCCGGATAAATAGGATGTTTTATCCTCAGATCATCCATCTGCAGTATGAAGATGTAAAACGAAACAAAACAAAACACTTTTTATAACAACAATGAAGAACAGTTTTCTTCGTTACATTTTCTGTAACAAACAACCCAAACTGAAACAGTATCTTTAGTTGAGAAAAGAGCATAAAAAAAACGAAAATTGTCTCAGATTGTATTTTATTTTTACTATTACAGTTGTCATACCCTTAACCTTTCTCAGTGTGTTACTCTTTAGAATCTCTAATCTTCGGAACTTGTATGACCCAATTATGCTGCAAGTGTCGTAAAACTCGTATCAAAATTAAAACTTGACCAAAATCTTATTCTCTCTAACCCCATCCCCACCCCCTCCCCACCCCCAAAACGTCTGCATTATCTCTCAACCCAGACACGGCCCAGAGCTGCCCGGAGGAGAGAGAGTCTGCCATGGCCTTCAACTCACAAGAGCCCAACGCCAAGCCTTTCATCCCTGTGTGTACAGCCAAAGGAGACTGGGAGAAGGCACAGTGTCACTCCACCGGCCACTGCTGGTGTGTGCAGGTGAGCAGGTTACTTCACTCACTGAGGACATGCATTCTGCTCTATCGGCAACGCTTGATGGCGCACTGTCTTGGGCTCTGCTCTTAAAATAACTTCGTTACGCTTCGTCAATTTTTATAGTCCAGTGTCCAGATTCTGGACCATTGGTTTGGGGGTTCACCACAAACATAAACATACATACACACACACACACACACACACACACACACACACAAACACACACACACACACACAAACACACACACACACGCACACACAGACAGATTTTTCAATTACGTTGTTGTTTTTTAGGGTGTGTTTTTTTTTTAACTTAAAAAAGTCACTTCGACGTGCAAACCACGAAGCACACAAATTTGTGTTCTGACTTGTTTATGCTCGTTCGAAAATGTCACATGTATCCACTACGTCCCTAAAGAGTAAATCCATAGATCGATCAACCTATCAATGAAACTAACGAACCTTGTCCCCAGTGTGCTCATCAGTTAATCAGTCGGTCAGTGAAGATTCAGGTAACTAGCCAATCAATCAACCAGTCACTCATCAACTGTCCGTTCAGCAAATAACAGAAGCTTGAAAAAGACAAGAGGGTCTGTTTTGTAAGGGGTTTCTTTTGGGAGTATTTTTTTG